GGACAAGTTCAAAACTGGTTTTAGTAAGAGAAAAGTGGTTTTCTAAAACAAGTGTGCATGTGCAATTTCTCATGTAATTGACCAATGAAACCCATTGGATTTAATCTCAATCTCTAATGAGATTAAAATCCAATAGCTACAAGGGAGGCAACTCCAACACCATTGGCATCAAACATTGATAGAGATGGTGCCAACGAAGGTGATGATGATACCGACCTTTCTCCAAAGATCAACTCATCGATTTCCTTTAAGAAGTTTCCAGTAAGCATTTTGTTGCCATGGACATTCGTAAGGTCTCCGATGTGGACCCTATTCATCGCAAGATTTTTGTGATGATGATATTGGGGTTTTCCGGTTATGTACAACTAGGGTTTGGTGCAGCTGGGGTTTCACAACTAGGAGATAGAGAGGGAAGGCCGAGAGATTCAACGTGGCTTGATCCAGCTCCCCCCTAATTCAACTCCCCCTCACCGAATGCTGCCAGATCCTCTCCCTGCATGGTGGAACTTGAATACTTAATTGTGAGGGCCCATTTTTCCATTACCAAAAATCCCACCTCCACCTCGTTGGCTAGTTGCTGCCATGTTGAAATGCAATTATTGAAGCCCCCATCGCAGATGAGATGACCTGTACTTGAACCTGAGGAGGGTGAAGCAAAGTATGGGTATCAGGCATCATCTCGAACCACTCAGATACGGATATGGATACAGATACGTTTTAGAAAAAATGGATACGGACGAAAAAATATGGATACACCAAAAGATGTATATAAATTCCATAAACATATTAATAACATTATTTTTAAGATCAAAATAGCCATAATTAATGTATAGATACATAGAAAATGTATATTCTAAAGGTATATGTGAAGAAATATATTACAATTAATATAATGGGATGCATATAGAAATCATAAAATTTTATTGATATTGTATCAATCAAGAATCCTGGAACATATTATATATATATTTTAAAAATTAATACATGCACAAAGTTATTATTATGTTATTTTCTATTGAATTTCAAGGCACAAAACATATGCAACTTTTATATGTGAATTATTATGTCAATTATTTTCTATTTTACTATTTTTAATTGTTAATATTAACCAAAAGTCAACCAAAAAATAATTCTCAAATGTTTAGTTAACAATACATGTTATTATAAAATGTAATTAAAGTATAAATTAAAAATTTTATAATAATATATAATATTAACTTAAAATATATCAAATATATTAAATTTTTAAGATACACATCATATGGAAATTCATAATTTTTCCATTATTAATATTTTTATTTCCATAAATTTTGAGATAAAAAATAATTTTTTTATATAAGTGTAGATTAATGGATTTGACAAATTCAATTTATATTATATTCTTGAGGTTTTTGTAAATAATATTTTTATTTTTATAAATAATATATATACTTTTATTTAGTTCAAATTAAAATGTTAATTAATAATTTATAAAATTTTAAGATAATGTCATGTTCAAATTTATAAATATTAAGTACTAAAATTATTATTCTATTATTAATATATCTTTTGTATAAATTTCTTGAGATTAAATAAATTTTTGATATAAATGTGGATTTAAGAAATTATTTATTCTATTAGTTTATAAAATATTAGTTTTGAATATTATTTTTTTATTTTGTTGGAATTGTTAAACACAAATGTAATTTTTTTGCATTACATAATAAGATGAAAATTGGTTTAATGGATCAAGTGTGCATTTAAGGCTTTTGCGCTAGGTGATTTGTGTTCGAATCATGCTAGGCACAACTTTTTACAAATAAACGCATGCGCAAGAAACACGCCGATCCGGGCTAATATGAAGGCGTATCACTCCAATACGCGCAATTCAGGGGATACGGGTTTAGTTATAACATATCCCGTATCCCCTCTGGCCGATGCCGATACGATATGCCCCGTATTGGAAGTAAGCTAACAGGTTGAAGGTCTGTCAATCCGTTCATATTCAAGGGTGTGATTCCGTTCTATTCTCAATGAACATAGTCGGCGACAGCTGCAACGAAGATTCTATCAATTGATTTTATTGAATTATAGTGGTTTTAATCTACTGATATTAATGTTTTATTTTGAAAAATTGAAAAAAAAAGGGTAAAATAGTCTTTTTTATCTTTTCGTTAACAAATGTTAATGTCAAAAAAAGCTTAGTCAATTGTTAAAAAACTTAAGAATACTCTAAAACAACATATAAACAATAAAAGTAGAGTTAGTCAATTAGTTAAACTATAAGGATAATTTAAGAAAATTTCCCTATTAATAATTACTTTCTTATGGTATTGATTTATAATGATGAAAAACATAAAAAAATTGCCTATTCTTTATCACTTTGGGATTAAAAATGTCCTTTTCATCATTTTTTTATAATTAATTTTGAATTGAGACGCACAAATTACTGATCGGGTTGAATAGTTCATCGGTCAATCATTGGAGTCAGCGGTTTTTTGGCCTTTTCGATATATATTTACAAAAAAAAAGAAAAAAAAGGCGATTCAAGCATAATCAAACCCAAAATATTGGATTAAACTCCGAGGCTTGGATCCCAATGTCACACAGAAAGAGAGAAGGGTAAGACATGGGAGGGAGAGAAAGAACACGGAAGCAGGCGACAAAACCAAAGATGGGGATTTTGTCCGTGTGTAACTTTCTACAATTAAATGGCCGTTAATATCGATTATATCATTTTGGGTATTGTACTTTGTTTTGCAGCAATGACCCTCTGAATTTTTGATACCAACACTTTGCCCTTGTCGTTAGTCTTCAATTAACTTCGTAGGGTATTGGGGAATTCCATTAAACGTTTTAAAACCCCAAAATATTCTTACATTATTTTATAAGATTATTTTGTTCTTTTGATTTAGGTTTTTGCTAAAATTCTAAATCTTATGGCTCAGTTTGGAAGGAGTACTGGTGAGAGCAGATTTAGCCCTCCGGTGAAATTGTGACACCTGGCACTTCATATAAACCAAGTGCAGTCTCTTGACAATTGGGCAGCTCGGGAAGTTCGGGCAGCTCAGCAGAGCTTGCCACATCTTGCCACTTATAGACAGCTCAGCATGGCTCGCCACAGGTAGCTCAGTAGAGCTCGCCACAAGCAGCTCTGGGGAGCTAGGGGCAGCTCGGCATAGCTCGGGGAGCTCAGGAAGCTAGGGGTAGCTCGGCATAGGCAACTCGCTACAGGCAGCTGACCACTCCGCAGGTAGCCTGGCGTCTTACAAAGAGCTCGCCACTTAGGGGCAGCTCGGCATAGGCAGCTGGCCACTCCGCAGGCAGCCTAGCGTCTTACGAAGAGCTCGCCACTTAGGGGCAGCTCGGCACTTACAGGTAACTCGGCATAGGTAGCTTGCCACTTAGGGGCAACTTGGCATATCGCAGGAAGATCTCCTGCCCGACAACCGTACTTGATAGATTCGGAGACTTGCGCCCACGTCTCTCGCTAGGCGGCGCCATGCCTGCTAGCCCTGAGAGTTGTCCCTTGACTGGCAGAGTCGTACTCTGTAGTAGCCGCCTGCACCCGCCACCTCAGCTCTGGCAGTAACGGCTGCGACAGAGAGACAAAGGCGGTTACGCCTGACTTGACAGAGGTTGTTACGCCTGATTTGACAGGACACCGCTATATAAGGACTCCAACCCCCAAAGACAAAGGGGAGAGAATGAAAAAATGGAGGTAATCCCTGCTCTCTAGCTCTCTCATTCCTCTAATATCATCTTCAAGCCCTCTACAACTAGAGTGCTAACTTAGGCATCGGAGAGTCCCCGTCGGGTAAATACCACCGGGCCCCCTGGTTCAGTTCTCGCAGGTTCCTCAGCTCCCACCGCCTACAAAGAGGAGGAAAAGATGGAGTTCTTGTAGGTCCCTCAACTCTTGCCGCCTACAAAGAGGAGGAAAAGATGGAGTTCTTGCAGGTCCCTCAACTCCCGCCGCCTACAGAGGAGAGGAGATCACCTCATGCAGAGGGCAGTCGGGTCACACTACACTAGGGAGCTCCACCATCCTCTGAGTTACAAGCCGCCTAGGAGCATGTCAAATGACGAGTCCACCAGGGAGCTCAGCATAGCTCTCCCCCGGGCAGTTCGCCATCAGGGAGCTCGACATAGCTTTCTCCAGCTCGGCATTCGCCATTAGAGAGCTCGGCATAGCTCTCTCCAGCTCGGCATAGCTCGGGCAGCTCGGCATAGCTCTCCCCAGCTCGGCATAGCTCGGGTAGCTCGACATAACTCTCCCCCAGACAGTTCACCACCAGGGAGTTCCACCATCCTCTCCTGGGAGCAGGTCAAATGATGAGGTACTTAGCCAAAAAATAAAAAATTGGTACGTGACCAGAAACTGTTGCATCAAGTACAAATGTAAATATATACAATATAAGTACATACAAAATAATATAAAATATAAGGTTTTGCGCTTTACATATTTGCATTTATATTTCTTTTCAAACTGAGCTTATATGTTTTTCTCACTTTCTAGAAGGTTGTCTCGAGGATATCCTTAGAATGATGTGTGCTTTAGTGGTTAATTTCATTATCATTATTCATTACCATCAAAATCTATATGGGTAATTTAATAACAACCCTGTACTTTGTTTTGCTACAATGACCCTCTGAATTTTTGACATTTTGCCCTTGTCCTCAGTTTAGTATTCGGGTATTCCATTAAACGTTTTAAAACCCCAAAATATCCGCATATTATTTTACAAGACAATTTTGTTCTTTTGATTTAGGTTTTTTTTTTCTAAAATCTTAAATCTTACACGTTTCTCTCACTTTCTTTCAACAAAAAAGGTTATCGTGAGGATGTGTTGAGAATGATTTGTGCTTTATTGGTTAATTTCATTATCATTGCCATCATAGAATCTTAAAAGGGTAATTTAATAATTTTAACCCCATGAGTCAGGGGTAAATTGCTAGAATATAAAAGTGCGGGGGGTCAAACAAAGTTCAGTGGACTGTCACCGGTTTTGATTGGGAAGAGGAAGGCGTTATAGCAAGTTAATAACATAAGAGAGGGACACAACAGTGTACGGGCATCCAACGCCTCCTCCTTACTCCCCTAAGTCTCTCCGCCCCTTCAGCACTTCTCTTCAACTCTCCCTTTCGTCTATAAGATCTCAATTCGCCTCTTCTCCTCTTCTCTTCCTCTTTCTCCCTTTCTCATTTGTAAATGGCAGTGATGTTGCAGGGAGTCGTAGCAACAGCAGCTCTCTCATCGTCCGCTGCTTTCGATTCCAAGGGAGCTCAGCTCCCCACCGTCAAATTTCTTCTAGGTCTGATTCTCTCTCTCTATATCCATCTATTGTTTTGGCACTTCTGATTCTGATGGGTATAGAGGTTCAAATATCTCTAGAAGTTACGGTTCCTTTTTTATCTATTTATTCGGCGGGATTAAAATGTGCTTTTGTTATGGGTTTCAGAGAGGAAGGGAGGTTTTCTGGTTGACAGATCTGATAGAAGGTTGGCAGTTTTTGCTTCTAATGCTAGAGCTCGCAGCGCTAGTAGATTGGTTACTAACGCAGTTGCAGTTAAACATCTACTACTCTGTCTAGCATTTCCTTTGGATTTTATAAAAACTGGGGCTTTCTTATTGATGGTGTTTTTCTTTTTTAAATTATTTCTTGTTTAGGCCAAAACAGATAAGTCTACGGCTTCTGCAGCATCTAAGATCGGAGGGTAAACTTTTTTTTTGGTTGGTTATGTCCATGCATCTTTTGACTGTTCTATTATTTTGATTCTTGCTGTGAAGACCTGAATTTCTTCTTTTGTTTGGTTAGTCCTGCTGTGACAACAGCCGACCCCATATAGTTGGGGTGAGGCTGAGATGATGATGATGATGATGAGTCCTACTGTGACAACAAACTGTGTTATTGGATTTGTTTATTGTAGTTACAGCTGTCAGTTGGTCCGATTGCATTGTGCTGCGTTTGGAATCGGTGTAAAACCTCACCACCGGTTTAGTCTTGTGTTTGTTTGGAGTGTAAATCAAGATCGATGTAAAACTCCACTCCAGTTCAGATTTGTCTACGTTTGGATGGAGTGGAGTTTTACATCATAAATCAAAGTACAACGTCCCTTATGATGAGGTTTTACATCAATTATCAATGTAAAAACTACATCGATAAAATCGATGTAACACTACATCAATAAGCACGTTTTTCTATGCTTAACGGTTCACATTTTCAAACAGTTCAGTGTGAAATGTCATCGATGGGCTTTTACATCGATGACGTTTTACACGCTTCCAGATGCAGCCGTAAGGACGAGAAGTTTTCATGCCTTAGTTCAGGAAGAAATTTGTTGTTGGCCTCTTCATTGTGCAATAGTAGATTTAAATAAGTTGTTACAAAAACTTCGATTGGCTGGCCCGAATTCTTTGCAGTTTTATTTTGGGGGTTAACTGTAGGTTGGATTGAAATGCTTGATTTCATCAAGTTGGAAGGTTTAGAGATGTTGAGAAGAAGAAGAAGAAGAAGAAGAAGAAGAAGGAAGTGTGGAGAATGCTTGGTGTGTTACTGTTCACACCAAGAGATCATTTTACTTCACAAGCAAAATAACAAAGGTGCCCTTGAATAGGTGCCCAAATACAAATATTCATAAAAGGACAGAAATGCCCTCACACTCTTAATTCTCCCCCTCAAGCTGAGCATAGATATTTATCATGCCTAGCTTGTTATAATTGTTGTCGAGCTTTCATTTGGAAACACCTTTAGTAAGACAATCAACCAACTGATCTTTAGACCTCACATAAGGTAGACAAATATTTTAACTGGCTACTCTTTCTCTAATGAAATGTCGATCAACCTCTATATGTTTTGTATGATCATGTTATATAGGATTGTGGGCTATGTTTATGGCAACTTGATTGTCATAATATAATATCATTGGAGTATCAATCTGCACTCCCATTTCTGTCAACGAGTTCTTCAGTCACAACAATTTTGAGACACCATGTGCCATAGCTCTGTACTCTGCCTCTACATTAGATTGATCCACAATTGATTGCTTCTTGCTTCTCCAAGATACAACATTACCACCCACCAAGGTACAATGGTCAGAAGTAGACCGCCTATCATCAATAGAACCTACCCAATTAGCATTAGAATAGGCCTCTACATTCAGATGCCCACGATTAGAATACAACATCCCCTTTCTTGGACATCCCTTCAAATAGGCAAGTATTCAATTCATTGTTTGCATATAAAATGATCTAGGCATGTGCATGTGAAAGGGATTGTAGAATCCATCGTATGGACGCCAAAAAGGTTGCGGAATGGGTGGGCGAATTTCAAAAATTTTCTACCTACCTTCCAACTGGGAATCGCATTCCCTGTTTTAGAATTAAGATTCAAGGATCCTACTTGAACCAGAACCGAATCAGATCTGGACCAAAAGAGAAGGGAGTGATTATACCTGATTCAGAGAAATAATATCTCTCAAAGTTGGTGTTCACGCCCAAAGAAGACACCAAGATCCGTTCCTGCTGAAGATGACACAACAACTGTGGAATAGAACCAACAGAGTGCGTCCTACACACTGAATCCTTCACAAGAATCCTTTGGAAGCAATGAGCACCGAACTGAATCAGCCTTTCAGCAAAGACTGATATCAAGAACTTTTCTTGATCTTTCTCTGATAGAGAAATCGAACTGCAATAGATGGTGGCCGCTGCAACAGGAGGAAGCTAGAGAAGAAGGTGGCGAATTGCTTTTCTTCTCTAGGGTTTCTGAGATCCTATCTCAAAACTTGCAGAGTGTTCTGTGTGTTCCCTAGGGTTCGGATTCTTGTAATTCGAATAGGGTTTCCTCCAGTTGCTTAATGATTAAGAAAAATCTCCTGATCATATCAAGAGTTGCCCTTATCCAAATCTATATTTGGAGTAGGACTCTTCTTAATCTTATCTACAAATTAGATAAGCTTTTGGGCTCATCCTAGTCTCAGATCCGCCCCTAATAATGACTGATCAAATCAGCCCAATTCGAAATGGGCTTTAGGCCCAATAAGAATCAAGTGCTCAAAAGTCTTTCAACCTGCTGCCCAGTTGGGCTTCTTTGTATGGCGTGGGACCCAAGCATTGATCTACACACCAGCCACATGGGTTCGGCCCAGCCTTTGTTACAAGGCTTGGCCGAATTCACTGGAGAGCCTAGTGAACCCCTTGAATCAAACATTAAATATCAAACATGTATTTCATTTATTTACACAGAAGTATACCACACAACATGAATCAAACATGTACTTCATTTATTTACATTAAATATCAAAAGTACATCAAAACTGATTGAAGCTAAGGGCATACAAAAACTGTCCAACAACATGTATTGACTAAACACAGTGAACCCCTGAATCCATCACCATGGGCTCTTAATGGGCCCAACATTTACACTAAATGGTCATTGGGTCCAACCACCTTATGAAAACTTAAGGACTGTGGGTAGATGCAAGATTAGCCCATCAGGCATTACCCTCAATGGTCTTACACTTAACCTCTTAGCCCTTAACGATCAAACATTGCCCGACAAGAGAGGACATCTCCCTTGGCTGCAAGGTACAATGCTGCATTCTCTACTCACATGGATCCCAGGAAATAAAACCTTTGCAAACAATTTGAAACTATAATATATATGTATGTCTCTATATAAACATATTTTGCAAAACAAATTTCAAACACATTTGAAATCCACTGCTGGCAGTTTAGGTTTCCATCAGAGAGAGTGCATTCCCTGGTCATTCACTTTGTCCGACAAAGGGGCTGATCCTGTCACTATGATCACCCACTCAGGTGAATTCTCGGACTGTCCCAACATACCMAGGTTTTGACCCCCTCTAAGGATCTCACTGATTGGCATATCAAAGACAGCCCATTCTGACACCTAGTGTAGTACCATAATCGAGTTCAGGGGTCAGGTGTAACATTCCAGTTTTGCCCATTTATCTCCAAGGTCCAGGGCAATACTGGAATTTGGTTCGGTTTAGGGTTTCAAGAAAACCCACACTACATGTACCTCAGGTCTCACCCTGGCAGCTGAGACAAGCCACCCGACCAACTTAGCGGCACATCAGTGTCTGCCTTGGCAGGATAAATCTCCTCAGATCTATCCAACGGCTGTGAAGATTCTAAATTAACACGAGTCTCATAAGTGCTCAGTTTAAGGGTATTACACAGAAACACACCATAATAACATGAATCAATTATGCACTTTATTCATTTAAAATAAATGACAATAAGTACATCAACCTGATTGGAGCTAAGGACATACATTGTCTAATAGCCTTTGATTAGGACTTGGAGGGAGATCTTGTCTCATGCTAGCCATCTTTAATTAGATGTCCTTGAAGGAATTCTCTGGTCAAGAAATTTGGCAAAGCATTATCAGATCTTTTAATATATTTAATTTTGAAGTCAAATATAGATAAAATAGCTTGCCTTCGGGCAAAAATTTGTTTTGAAACCAAAATTTTGACATATTTTTTCCAAAATCTCTTTTGCAGATTTACAATCAATTTGCAAAGTAAAATGCTGATTTATCAAATCTCCTTGAAATTTTGAGATGCATAAAACAATGCTTAGCACTTCTTTTTTAACAATAGAATATTTTTTTGGGTTTCATTTCAGGTACCAAAAGTAAACCAGATGATTTCATCTTTTCCATTCCTATGTTGCTTTAGGATTTCTCCATATCCAATTTCACTAGCATCAGTTTCTACAATCTTGGGGATCTCTGGATGAGGGATGTTGAGACACAGAGGGGTTTTTACCCTCTGCTTTATTCTTCTCACTGTTTGAGTGAACTAATCATTCCACTCCGGAGGACTTTTCTTTAGTCTCTTTTGAAGTAGCTGTCAGTCCCTAGCTAGGTCTTCGTAGTAGTCTGCTACATAGTTAAGACTAACTAGAAATCTTTGGAGTTGGGTTTTATCCTTAACAGGTGCTATTTTCCCTTTGGATATTTGATATCCCAAAAATCTTACTTCTGTTTGAAACAGTTTCGCCTTCTTGGCTGATGCAGCTAAGCCATTTTCTCTCATGATTTTTAGAAATATATTCAAGTGTTTCCAGTGGGATTTCAAAGATGGAGAGTATACCAATACATCGTCTATATAGACTATAATGAATTGAGTATAGGGAATAGAAATTTCATTCATAATTCTCTAGAATTCAAATGAAGCATTTTTTAATCCGAAGGGCATAACATTTCATAGTGCCCAAAAGGAACTGTAAAAAGCTGTTTTATATCTATCTTTTTCATTTATTTGGATTTTCCAATAACCTGATTTTAGGTCAAATTTAGAAAATATCTCTGCATCATATAACTTGTTTATTAGGTCTTGCTTATTAGGGATGAATATCTAATCAACCTCAAGGCTTTGTTGAGTGGTTTATAGTTAATCATTAGCCTTGGTACTCTTTCTATTTCTGCTGTGTTTTCTACATAAAACGTTGGACAGCTCCAAGGGGATTTACTTGGTCTAATTAGACTTTTTGCTAAGAATTGTTTGATTTCCTTCTTGCAGATTTTTAATAGTCTACTATTCATCTGGATTGGTCTGGCTTTAGTGGGGATCTTTGCTTCATTGTATCCTTCTTCATAAGGAAGACTTACCACATGCCTTTTCTTATGCCAGAATGCACTGGGAATTTCAGCGCATATTTCTTTTTCCAATCTTGTTTGGAACTTTGCTATTTCTGATTGTGTTCTTGGATCTTCCAAGGATTTAACCAATTGTTTTTCTTTTATTTCTGATTTCAATTTAGAAATAAATTTGACTTTATTTTTCAAATCTTCCCTTAAAGTATTTATAGTTGTTTTCAGCTTTTGGCAGAATTTGTAGGTGATGACTATTTCACCTATAGTGGTAGTAATTCCTACAGAATCTATTTGGTACGGAAGAATTGATAATAGGAAGGGTGTTCCTAATATGATATCTTGCCTAAGGTTTCTGACCATAAGAAACGTGGTTTTTAAGCAGGTTCCTTGGTTACAGATATGGGCAACAGGGATTTTGTATTTAACTTCCAACTTCCTTCCCTCAACGGCATTTACTTGTTGGGAAGTTTTTTCAAAGTATTTGGAAGGCACAATTCCTTCCCTAATACAGTTTACATTTGCACCTGAATCAATTAAGGCTATAACTGAGAAACTAAAATTTTTAATCTTAATGGTTATTTTTGAGTACCACTTTTGGTATTTTACCTCTTCAATTGAATATACGAATTCTTCATCCTCTCCCACAAATGCAGCGGGTTCTATACTTCCTATTTCTGAAGATTTGCTAGATCCTTCTTGGTGTATAGAATCTTTATAAGATTCTAATATATTAATTCTTTCTTTCAGGGATTTAACTTCGTTTTTGAGATTGCAAACCTCTTGCTTTAGGTCTATCAAGGTAGGGGGCCAAGAGGAGGTTTCTTGAGCCTTTTTGATAATTTCATTGTACAATATTATATTTTCTTTTTTAAACAAATCTTTTTTAGATTTTTGTTTTTTATTCTTTTATCTACTATGTATTGCCATAAGTAAATGCCTTTTCTTGGTTTCCTCATCAGGAATATCCTCTAGTATTTCTAATAAATGTTCTTCTTCTAGAGAGATCATATTAATACTGTTTGAATCATCTTCTGTACTAGTTTCATATTTACATGTACAGAGACCTTGGTTGTCACAACACTCTTCTGGTGAGGTAGAGGTAGAGGTTTCTCTTTCTCTTTCTTCTTCAAAGGTAACCTCTCTTACAGATTCACCTAATTCATTAACTTTTATAGGTTTTAAAGCATTTGTTAGCAAAATAACCCTTTTTTCCACACTTAAAGCAAGTGGTGGTCTTATAGTCTCTTTTATTTTTGGAGGATTTCAATTTTCTTTCTTTTCTCTCAGGTTTTCTTTTGTGAAATTTGGATTTTCTCCTTTCATGTGCTGGTTTAGCACTGCCAGGTTCAGGACCTACCCCAACTAGTAGCAGAAATCTCCTAACTCTTTTTTGGAGTTAGTTTTCTCTCTTTTGATCTGCCTTTTTAGGCGTAAGTCATTGCATAAGTCCAGTCCTATCTGCTTTACTATCTGGATTAGATACTCAAGCGTATAATGGGTATTATTCGATTCTCCCTTCTCCTAGACTTCTGAGGTGGTTCCTGACCTTTTCAGTGAACAATGGGGGAAGGCCTGAAATAAATTGTTCTTTCCAATAGGCTTCTTTTGAATTAGTTAGCCTATGTACTTCGGACAGAAATACATCCTTATACCATCTAAAATCATATAATGTTTTACACTTAAGATTTATGAGTTGTTCACTTATTCTTTTTGACATATTATCAGAATTCCCTATAAAATGATTTAGTCAACTTCAACGGCCTTTCCTTAACTTTGCTCAGTCTAATGCGACTTCGACCTCGGTTCAAGGGTTCTAGCCTTAGTGGAATTGGTAGGTGACTAGTCTATCCAACTTGGGTTCTAGCCAAGTGAAATCTCTGAGGAGGTTGTAGTCTTTGGGTTCTAGCCAAGGTTCTAGGTAGTATCTGAGCAGAAGATATTTCTAAAGTTTGCAGATTTAAATTCTAATCTTACGGTCTAATGACATAAAAGGTTATAGAAGAAATATGGACCGAAAGGCTCAAAACTTAGGGTAACCGTGGATCATTAGCTCAAGGGTTTAAAGGAACGTTGGATCAATGGCTCTGATACCAAATGGGATGAAGTCAAACAGAAGAGCTCTAATATAAGAGGTATGAAGAACTATATGAAAAACAATATTCTATGCATGAAGTAGAATAGCAGAACAGTATTTATAAAAACGGTGCTTTATAAATCAGAAAAAACGTATTTGAACATAAAAAGTTTACATTAGCAAGACTTACAAACGAAAGTGAACAACAAAGAGAAGGGCACACTAGAAGTGCAGTTTACTGCTTACAGTCAACAAACCTCATCCCATTAAGATAATGTACAAAGCATTACATCAAGATCAAGACTTGGTAGTTACATCTCTTTTGCAATTGAATTTTCTGACGTTGCTCCTTTCTTCTTCCTTCTAGAATACACGTGTTGTATTATTGGTTTGGCTGTTGGTTCTGAGCTCCTAACATCCTTGTCCCATTTGCTAGGGAGTGAAAGAACTTTGTATTACGTATTACCAAACCTTGATTTTTGTCTACAAGAAATTTCTTCCTTGCTATCTCTTCTAACTCCACCTTTAGCCGCCTCCACCTCTCTGTTATCTCCTCTTTAATACACTTAAGATCAAGCTCCTCTGTTCTTTTTTCATTCTGTTGTTTAAGTCTTCTAATCTTCCAAATTCTTCTTTGTTTAACTCTTTAATCCCTTCTTTCAATTTCTTCAATTTCTTAATGAATCTCACCCCCTATTATTGACATTGATTCCATTGTCCACCCACCGCTCTTTTATTTTTTCAATAAATTTTGAGTCTTCCAACCACATTTTCAAATCTGAAGGGGGTGGGGCCCCCTAGGTAAGTCTCTTGATCAAGACAAAGGGGACAATGATCTGAGGTCACTTTGGGTAGTGCTTAAGACTAAATTTCCCCATAGATCCTCCCAGTCTATTGAGAAAATGAATATATCCAATTTAGAGCAAGGTTTAAAATGTTGGTGTTAATGGAAATGTTGATCGTCCGAATATGTGAAACATGTCGAAAATGTTGGAAATATTGTACAAATTATAGACATGGTGGAAGCATTGTAAAATATGCAAAATATAGAATGATATTTTATAAAATGATAAAAGAAGTGTAGGCACACCTTTTTAAATTATTATCTTGTTCCAAATCATTAAACAAAGCTAAGAAACTAAGGTTATAGACAAAAGAATACATTCTAAATCCGTCCTGTAAACCTTAAGATTTGAAACTTCATTGTAGAATGAGTTAAAGCACAATTTAAACTCAGAGAAAATGTAAATGGTTGTAATAGACCAGCCAAAGAATCTATTACACAAACAAAAACTAATATTTAACTTCATGTTTGAAATGAACATTGAGCTAGCTCAAAGTGGTAATTATGTAAGTTAGGCAGGCAATAACATTGTTATTCCACATAATTTATAAAAAAAAAAAACATTGTTATTCCACATATCTACAGTATTGTCACCAACTTATGTTAATGCTATCTCTTCTCTTGTACCCCACATAATGAGGGTGGGCCTTGGTGCCACTGTTGGGTTGCTCCATTGCAACATGGGTGACTAAGGTTCAAATCTTGGAAACAACCTCTCTGTATGTGCAGAGGTAAGGCTGTGTACAATGTGTCCCTCACTAGATCCTGCATTGGTGGGAGCCTCTTGCACTGTGCTGCCCTTTTTTCTTGTACTCCACGTAGTGCTGGTAGTGTTCATTGGGGAATATGTTGATTGTAGTAAAATTTCATATTGCTACCCATGGAAGTGTTAATGGAAATATGCCATGGAAACTATCTTGTGTACTCCACATGGTGTTGGTAGTGTTCATTGGGGAAATTAGGGACATTTTAAATCATGATTTATATAGCACATTGGTACTTCCGCAAAATTAGACCAAGTAAAAGTAGCTTGCAACAAGGGGGGGTTCTCTTAGTTCCAAGGACTTTACCAAAGCATTAAATTTTCTCATACTTGTGCTTATGCCTTGAGTTGGATTATTTTTTTTACTTGTGTATCTTATAACATTGAAGTCACCTCTCATACACCTTGGCCCCTCCCAGAAAAGGTCTCTGTCTCTATATGAGTTAGGGCCATACACATTTGTTAATACCCATTCCCTTCCATCACTCCTTTTTCATTTTTACCAAAACTAAAAATTTCCCAATTAATTCCTCTTGACAATCCAATTCTTCTTTTTTCTTTATTGTAAGTACTCCTCCAAAAGCATCCTAGGATGGGGCATAGGACCATCTCAACCCTCTACTACCCCATATACTCCTTATCCATCTTCTGTTCACCTCAGAGTGTTTTGTTTCCTGTAACAGCACTACATTTTGGTTTCTCTTTTCTCATGACATTCCTGATTGTCCTCTTTTTAGCATTCCCTAACCCCACACATTCCAACAAAGAATCTTTGTTAATAATGTTTATAAGGACCCTACCACTTTCTCCACCAACTTATTGTTCCCCTCTCTTTCTCTCCTTTTTCCAGTGGTTCTCATCTTTATCATAAGACACACCACAAGCTAATTTCCACTTCACTCTTCTTTCTTTTACCTTTTCTCTCCTCCCCCATCCTTCCTAAAATAGACTTTCAAATTTGCAAGTTCTTTGAATTTTTTTTTTTTTTTTTGTTTTCTTACCCCTCTTTAGGGAGAGATCAGCAACTGTTCCTCCTTTGGTCTAATCCAAAATTTCCCCAGTTTCACTTCTCTTCTCTACCTAAAACCTCAATACTACCACACTTTCCTCTCCTTGCTCCTCCATTGCAATATTTGGGATAGCAATGTAGTGAGATGATTCTATGAGTCAAGTGTGTGGACTGTGGATATAATCATCTCCAAGATTTATTTGGAGTCTCATGTTCAGTATTAGGTGGGAGTCTGGACAACATGGAGTCAAGGGAAGGATTGGTAGAATCCCTTAATGTCCCACTTAAGAGAAACCAAAGCTATTGGGAAATGAATTTGGCAGTGATGATCCATTGACTCTTCTAACTTGTCAAGCTTGGGACTGGGATCCAAAAGGCATATCCTTGGTGAAGATCCTCCCTGGTTTTGGCATGTACTAGGAGTAAGATTCAAAATATTGAAACGCATTGGTGTGTATCAACAGATATGAATCGGTTTTCAGAGTGATCAATATGCTAAATAAGAGTATTTACATCATTTCAATTTTCAACTATTTGAAACAGTAATCAATGATGTGACAAGGGCCCTGTCAAATTACCAAATGAAAAGATAAAAAAATAGAGTTTTGCTCAATATAAACTCTTGATACACAAAAATGGGTGTGTAGAGAGTATTAATACTTTGAACCTTGACTAGGGGTTTATCTTGATTTTGTTGAGATATTTGCTGACCATCAATTCTTTCCCAAGACCCTGTTTATCTGGGACCATTATTGGGTAATGGCCCTTACCCGATTGTGGTTAAATTCCTTCAAATTATGCATTTCTTATTTCTTCTATGATTCATGAGAAACTTTAACTACGAAAAACTGGTTCATTGTGTATGTCAGCTAGATGATATGATGATTGGTTTTTTTTTGTTTTGTATCACTAGGCATGAGATCTTGCTGTTTGAAGCCCTTCGAGAAGGTCTAGAAGAAGAAATGGACAGAGATCCCCGAGTGTGTGTCATGGGGGAAGATGTGGGACACTATGGAGGTTCGTACAAGGCCACTAAGGGCCTGGCCAAGAAGTATGGGGATCTCAGGGTGCTGGACACTCCCATTGCTGAGAATTCCTTCACGGGTATGGCTGTTGGGGCTGCCATGACAGGCCTCAGGCCAATAGTTGAGGGCATGAACATGGGCTTCCTTCTTCTGGCATTCAATCAGATTTCCAACAATTGTGGCATGCTCCACTACACCTCAGGTGGTCAATTCAAAATCCCAATTGTCATCCGTGGGCCTGGAGGGGTTGGACGTCAACTTGGGGCAGAGCATTCACAAAGACTGGAGTCATATTTCCAGTCAATACCTGGGATCCAAATGGTTGCCTGCTCAACTCCTTACAATGCCAAGGGCTTGATGAAGGCGGCCATCCGGAGTGAAAATCCAGTGATATTGTTTGAGCATGTGCTTCTCTATAACCTTAAGGAGAAGATCCCAGATGAGGAGTATGTTCTGTCACTGGAGGAGGCTGAGATGGTGAGACCTGGTGAACATATAACAATTCTAACCTACTCCCGCATGAGGTACCATGTCATGCAGGCAGCAAAGACGCTAGTAAACAAGGGATATGATCCTGAGGTTATTGATATCAGGTCATTGAAACCGTTTGATCTATACACAATAGGAAATTCAGTAAAGAAGACACACCGTGTGCTGATTGTGGAAGAGTGCATGCGGACAGGTGGGATTGGTGCAAGCCTCACGGCGGCCATCAATGAGAATTTCCATGATTACTTGGATGCTCCAATTGCTTGTCTCTCATCACAGGATGTGCCAACCCCATATGCTGGGACATTGGAGGAATGGACTGTCGTTCAGCCTGCCCAGATTGTGACTGCAGTAGAGCAGCTATGTCAGTAGCATCAGTGGCACCAAGATTCAGTTTTAGAAGTTATTTTTTTACTTCCAAACCAACATTTTTCTTTATCTGCAGTTTTTTTCTTGTTTTTTTCTCATGACATTGCTTTTATCAGTTTCACGTATTCTTGTAGATTTTGTGCTTTTAACCTATTATTACTTACAGGCTATTCTTTAGAATAAACTCTAAAAACCCAAGTATGAAAAATAATTTTTAGGTTTTAATCTAGGAAAGAAACATATAATACTCCAATGGATGAGGATCTAATGCTTGAGGCAGGACATAAAGGGAAGTTAACTAGGTATCATGCTTAGACCAGGGCATGAAGACTAAATTCTTGTGTTTTTAACCAGAGTTAGCAGGGTCTGGGTTCAGAAACTTTGGTCCCATCATATTGAGGTCTTATTCGGATCTCTCATCTCTGTAAGTTATAAGCAATGTTTTCAAAACCAGACAGGTTCGGATGGTTGGACCGGAAAAATCAGAAACGGTCACCTGACCAGTTCCATTTTAGCCTAGAACTGCTTTTTGGCCAAAAATCATTGATTTGGCCACCAAATTGCTGACCCAGGTGGTTGAACCATTGACCCATCAACCCGGACAATGGTTTTGACCATTTTTTACTTTTTTATTATTTTTTATTTTTTATCATAATGGACTGTCTGTTTGGTTTGAACGGTCGGACCGTTTGACCTGGGAACCAGACCCAGAACGTGTCGGATTCAATTTTAAAAACCTTGATTAAAACTTAAAGACCAAAAAGAATCAGTTTCAACCCTGGACCCAGTTAGCAAGCACCTGATAAGCATTTAAATATGTAAAACCTGAAATTTATAAAGGGGAACCGGGGAAGAAGATAAATCCATCTTTGTTTTTTTTCCTTTATCACTAACTGTAGGCATGCAATAATGTTTTTTTTTTATGGTTTTTACTTTTTTACTTCTATTCCTGTATTCTCGGTTAGTTCCCATCATTTGGCAGGTATAGATCTAGAACGACCTTGTCAAACCTATCCCCGAAATCAATGTATAAAATAGGGTCTTGTTTCATCGACTTATCTATATACTATATGTACGTTATTTTTAAACTTTTTTTACAAGGTTGAGAAAGGTGCTAGCACATCCCTGGAAATCTTTGAAGGAAATTATGTTGATGGTTGAACTAGTGTCTTTCATCCTCTTGTTGATTCCTATCCAAATGCCATCTATTAACTATTAAGTCTGCTGCCTGGCTGCCCTCCTGAGAGATGATGCTGATGTTGAGTTAGTGTGTTCTTCCTCCTTTTGGCCTCTGTCCAAATTTTGATGTGCCACCAAATGCGAATTACACCTGTAAGGCATCCATACCTGGCTCAGTATCTCTCAATCCATATCTTATTTCAATCCATTATACTTTGCAGGAACAGGTTCTTCTCTAGCTGCGATTGCTTCTACTGTATCAATTGCTTTTACCCCTATGCAACAGACCTAGCCATTACTTCTCAATGGTGTCCCACAGATGCATCAATGTTAATTTCCTTATTGAAGTGCATCCATCCTATGACTCCTTGATTAGCATACTCTAGGGGAATTGGCAACTGGCCTATCATTTTTATTGTTAAAGCTATGGCATATATAATGGAGCTACTCATGTCAAAACTCAAAACTCCTCTTTGCTCTCCTTGACCCCTCATAGTTTTGTAATTTTTTTTTTGGGATTTTTGAAAATGTAGAAAATATTGATCATGGGCCCATTTGAATTCAGCCACTCTGTATCACTTCCATGTGGAATATGAGGCATTGGGTTATCCACTATTGGCCGAGCTTTGAGCTCGAGCTCGGCTTGAGTCAAAAACTCATAAGCTTGAATTCGGCTTGGCTCGAGTTTGATTTGAAAAAAAAAGGTTTTATAAAAATAAAAAATTATATATAAAAAATATTTTTTAATTGATATTTAAAAAATTAAGAAGTATAATATTTTTATTATATATTATTTTTTATAATTTTATTATATATATGGGTTTAGGGTTTGAGCTTGGCTCACGAACCTCACGAGCTAAGCTCTATTAGGCTCGAGCTCAGCTCATTCATTAATCAAACCTGTAAATTGGGCTTGAACTCGGATAAAGCTCGATTGAAACCGAGCTTTTCACCAGTCGAGTAGCTCATGAAGAACTCGGCTCGTGGCCACCTAGGAGCTATGCTGAAGATGGGAATTGGTTTTCTCGTCCCCAGTACGAATGTTGTAATGCATGGTATATTGGTATACCACACATTTCAAGTGGGCCCTACATCTGTAAGTCTTTTGGTCCCATGCACTATTTAGTTGAGACATTGATTGCTGTCCTTATAAATCAGAACATGATTCTAATCCAATGGTGTTTGTAGAAGGACCTACGATCTTCCTGTAACAGAACGTATTTTGTCAATTTTCTAGCTAAAAAAATTCCTATCGAACAACTTCTAGCCAATTGTAAGAAGATTGGAAGACGTTCATCAATATTAGAAACGACCAAACAGGGTGTGTCCGCTAGGGGTGTAAACAGAGCGAATTTTAAATTGAATCAAGCTTGATTCAAATTTGAAACCGATTAAATATATGCATATTCGAATTTGATTGATATCTGAAGATTTTTTAAAACAACACATTGAATTCGAATTCGTCTAAATTATCGAATATTCAAATTTGGTTTGAATTGGAAATACGTTTTTAACACCAACCTCTTCACCAAGGGAAGAATAAGAAACCTGGTTTGAATTTTTTTCATTCCCTGTTGATCTAATATTCAAAAAACAAAGAAAAAACAAATTAATTTTTTTTGAATCATAGCAATCTATTTGATGTCTCTGCAACAAATGTCGCCATTAGTGTGGTCTGCAACAAAAAAATTGTCCATCATGTTCATGTGCTCTACAACATCAAAAGGGAAAGAGAGCAAGAGATGGGGAGAAAGGAAGAGAGAGAAAGTCACTAAGAAATAAAGAATAAAAATACTTATATGTAAAAAATAAAAAAAAGGAATGAATATCCCGAGATTAACATTAAAACTTACAAGTTGCAATGGACCAAAAAAAAAAAAAAAGAAATGCAGAGAAAAAATGTTGTAGAATAAGAACGAGGAGGCGAGGAAGAAGAAAGATGAATAGTAAATTAAAAGTACAAAATAAGTAATGAGATGCGGGCCTTTTGATAAAAAATATTAAAATATTAATTTGTTTATTCCAAAAATCCATAACATCTGCATTGGTTCAATTTTTTATTATTAAAATATAATAAGTATTAAAATATTATTTTATTTGACTAAAAATCATCATAGCGTCTCAGTCTTCATTCAATTATAATATTATTAAAATAATATTATGAAAGAAAATTTTCAAAAGTCGTCATTCATTCTATTCCAACAAAATAATATATTAATATGTATATTGATATATATGTATAATAGATATTATCGAATCGGATCGACTCCTATTTGAATTAGATTTGATTAATTAATCGTTAAAAATGCTTCGTTCAAATTCCACTGCCAATAGCATTCGAATAATCCGAATTCAATTGGATTATGTCAAATCTCAAATTCGAATTCAAATTTTTAATATCGTTTACATCCCTAGTGTCCGCATCGCTCTGAGGATTTTTAATCAAGGTTCCGAAACCCAAAATGGGTCATAATCCCAGTCCGAATCCTCTGGGAATCGGACGATCTGGGCCAATTAAGATGTGCCACGTCATCCCAACCTGTGGGATCCATGTGTACAAAACTGACGTGGTCTACCGTAATTGGCCGATTATTACGAGTGCATCTGTAAACGATTCTTTCACCGACGATACTGTATGTGAAATCAGAAAGGCCAACGATCATTCTCTTTGTATTTCCAAAATGCGAAGTACACAATACAAGAATTATGGGAAGGGGAGAGAGAGAGACGCACGCACAATCTGGTAAGTGGTTTGGGTGAGAAGAGAGAGTGCGAGACAGATTAGTTACTTTTTTTTTTTTGTTTTTTGCTAAATAAAAGAACTGTAAGCTTATCAGAGGAAATTTGTTGTAAGCCGAAACACATGAGCATTCACCGCTCCTGCTCTCGAGAAGAAAACTTACCTCGGTATGTCTAGATTTTTCTTATTTATTCGTTTAATAAAGTAAATTCTAGTTGAAGTTTATATTTTACCATCTGGGTTGGGTGATTTTTGTTCCTATTGGGCTGATTCTGTCGTATATATGCATAACCCGTGTTTGTGCGCATGTGTGCATATAATTTTTGTTCTTATTGTGCTGTGTGATTCTTTATCATATCCAAGTTTTTTATTATTGTATCCTTATTTTCTTTTGTAAGTTTTTGTTCATGGGTTAATGGGTATCTTCATTTGGGTTAATGAATTGGTATGAAGATAGTTCTAGTGTGGTGTACTGGATGGGCTTACCAAAGATGCATAAAACCAAATATTAGAACACAAGGAAATGAGTCATAGATGATACTAACAGGTATCCTGGAAAATAGAGGAATCTGTCTCATTGCCTGATTTGCGTCCGCCAGTTGGTGATCACGAATTAGCTTGTTTAGGATCAAAGAGAAGCGTGTATAGGTCAGACCCTTGGTGAAAATGGCAGTTAAGTAACAAATCAAAAGAGAAAAAAAATGGCAGGCAATTATTGAGCATTTGGAACAATTATTATCACCAAATTGTCGCAAGTACCATGCTTTTGTACAAAATGATAAATCAACTACTATTATGAGTGTGAAAAACAGAAGCCAAAGCATGATGAAGGATGCTAATGTTGCTGCAATGAAGAAGTGGCAGTGATGAAGAATAGTTCTAAGTCGTGAAGTGAAAACAGAATCCATATACATTTTGGCAGTAGCAGTGGCAAGAGAATCATATTTTTGCTTTGATCCTAGAATGAGGTACTGTTGTCTGTAGGCTGCTCAAGGGATAAGATTCTAAGATAAATGTATTTGGCTGATGTAGGCTGTTGCCTTCCGATCATTGGTTCATCAAGTGGATCAGCATTGAAATAGGTGACAGAAAGAAATTAGATAGCTGATCAGTACAAACATTATATTGTGGATTATGCCTCACACATTATGAGACACATCTAATTGTTGCAATACGAGATGTTCTAGGAACATGAACGGACATGTTTGGTTGATGATGCAGATTAACTGAATGTGTAATTTAAGGTATTTTTAGGCTCCAGTTAGCCTACAGTAAGTGGGATCCCTACCATGACTTGATAGATTTAGAGTAGGGGAACTCAGATTAGACAATGTTTGGGTGCTTTCCATATTAGCATGACCAAAGAGATTAATGTAGTTGGTGTTGAAAAATGAGCTTGCATCCTTAGGAAATAGAGGAAAATATAACAACATTGGTGCATTTTTGATAGATTTGTTGATGCCCATGGGGGAAATGAGCAATTTCTCCACTATGAAGAACTATAATGCTTTTTAGAGTTCTTTTTTTGATTGGTAATAAGTTAATGCTATATTGATTTTGTGTAGAATTATACAACACGACTCTCCATTATAGAGGAATATAAGCATTTTTTTTTTGAATATAAAATGAAAATTCATTGAATAAGAAAAGAAAATAATACAATCTAGCAGGTGATAAGACATCACATGCACACAGAAAAGCAGAAAAGAACTGCTAAGGAACAGAATTAAGTAAACTATCTAAATCACAAAGTTGTAAACCCAAAATATCTCCCAATCTGTCCCCCAAATCCTCCCTAGAGACTTGATTAAACTCTGGAGTTAATAGAACCCAGTCTGCAACCAAATTGCTAACAACTGCCACAATCTTGTTCAGATTCCAATATTTATCCTAAAAAGTTCTATTTCTTTCCTTCGGTATGTCCCAACAAATTGCAAACAGGATACAGCTCCAAAGTGATCTTGCTTTCTTGCTACCTCTTAAGTCTTAACTTTGTCCATGTAGAAAAAATTTCTGCAGTAGATTCTGGCTGAAAGTTTGAGAACCCGAACATAGAAGTAAATATTCTCCATAAGAACCCAGCTATCTTGTACGAGAAGAATAGATAACCAACAGTTTCCTCCTGTTCTTTACAGAGGAAACACATGGCCATGCTAAAGCCCCTAGATTTTAGATGGTCCGCAGTCAATATGCTGTCTATGGCTACAAGCCAAGCAAACGCTTCAACCCTTGGAGAACTGGATTTCCCCAAGCAGCACCTAGCTGATTTGGATCTGAACCATCTCTGAGAAGAGCCAAGTAAGATGGTTTGACAGAAAACTTCCCATTTGAGCACTCTTTCCACCAACGTTCATTCCTCGACTGAGCTGAGATCTTCACTTCCTCTAGTTTCTCCAGTAGGGATATACATTCCTCCACTTCTCTATCCAGCAAAGGCCTTCTAAACTTTGGGCACCATATCAACTGTTCACCCCTCCTTTCATAACACTGACTTATAGAAACTTCAGCCTCAGATAACCTATACAAACTTGGGCATAGATCACACAGCTTACCTATCCCACACCAATCGTCCTCCCAAAACCTGATTCTTGCTCCATCTCCAACTAAGAAGCTTGTTAGACATCTGAGCTCTTGATTAAATTTCATAATCTCCTTCCACACACTCACCCCATATGAAGATCTCACCTCCCTGGATTTCCACCCAAACCTCACCCTCCCAAACTTAACCCACCACCATTCTTCTCCATATTGAGTTTTCCTCCCTCCCTAACCCAAATCTCCATAACCACTTCCCTACCAATGCCTTGTTGAAAATCTTCACTCTCCTAAAACCCAACCCACCCTTCTCCTTTGGTCTACAAACTCTCCCCCAATTTACCAAGTGAAACTTCTTTCCCCCACCTTCCCCGCAAACCCCTTCCCATAAGAAATCCTTTAAAATTTTTTCAATTCTTTCAGCAACTTGTGTTGGGGTCCTTATTAAAGACATGTAATATTGGTAGACTTGAAAGGGCACTCTTAATTAAAGTTATTCTCTCTCCCCCCCCCCAAAGATAGATATTTTGCTTTCCATCCATCTAATCCTCTCTCCACCCTTTCCACTATTGGTCTCCATAATGCACCTAAATTTGAAGCTCCCCCAATCGACATCCCTAAATATGTAAGGGAGTTCCCCTAATCTGCATTCAAAGGCTTTAACACACTCCAATAAAACCTCCCTCTCAACCTCCACAACTCCAATCAAAACACTCTTTGACAGATTAACTTTCAAACTAGTTAATAACTCAAAATTCACTTTAACACCCCTCAAATTTAAGACCTGCTCAATTGAAGTATCCAAAAAAAAAATCAAAGTGTCATCTGCGTATTGCAAATGAGAAATATAAGGTCCATCTCTGCCCACTTTAAAGCCTTCAATTAGACCCAACTGTCCACTTCTCTACTTCAAGGATTTAAATATCGATACGATACGTCCGATACGGGGCGTATCGTATCGGTATCGGTTACTAATGATATGAGATACACTATGAATACAAGCGTATCCCGTCAATTGTTCGTATCAGATGGATATGGATGCGTATTGGCCGGTACACACGATACACGTTGCGTCTATTAGATCTCTTTATTCAGTAGTCTCCATAAAAAATGCGAATGAGGTGATTCTAACTCAGATCACTTAATGCGTTTAGAACTCACTACGATTCCAAACCACCAAGCCACGTTTCATTTCATGATATAAAGTGAAACAAAATAAGTTTTATTAACTTTTTGTATTCGCATGCAGTTTAAATAAAAAACACATATTTATATTTAACAGGTCTAACTAAAAATAAAAAAAATAATATTTAAAAATAGTATTTTATAAGCTAATAGAATAAATAATGTATCAAATCCACATTTATATAAAAAAGATGATTTTTAATATCGAGAAATTTATACAAATAGAATATTAATAATAGAATAATTATTTTAATACTTAAAATTTATAAATTTACACATGTTATAAATCTTTAAACTTTTATATACTTTTACAAGTTATTAACTAATATTTTAATTTACATTAGTAAGTAATAACAACATATTTGTTATTTACAAAACTTAAAAATATTATATACAAAGTATTGAAGAATATAATATTAAATTGAATCTATCAAATTCACTAATCTATATTTATTTTAGAAAATGATTTTTTATTTCATAAAATTTATAGAAATAAAAATATTAATAATGGAATAATTATTTTAGTAATTAAAAACTATGAATTTGTATATAATCTCATGTTGTTCGATCCGAGGTGTCCTGAATTGAGGTCACAGTTAGATATCTAGTCCTACCAACTAGTGAAGTCGAGGTGGAAGGACGAAGCCGTGCAACAAGATCTGAAACCAAGAAAGGGATCAGAGGCTCGAGGAGTTATTCCCCGGGTAGGCACTCCGGTGCTCAAGTCAGTCAGAAGAATGGGTGGTTGGGCCAAGTAGTTGAGAGAAACATGCTGGTCCGAGCAGAGGCTGATTAACAGTCTGAAGGCTGGAGAGTCAAAAGTCCTTTACTTAGGCGGAGGTTACCTACTTATAGCTGAGGATCCGTGTCTGATTCGGATGAGGCTTCCGGGGTTGTCGCGATGAGGTTGTCCGCTGAGGTCTTCGGGATAAGACCTAATCCTCAGCAGAGCTGTCCTTATTCGTACAGGGCTCTCCTCTCCTGATCACGCTTATCCATCCTACGTGGTGCCGACGTGGCCGAAGAGATAAGACGGCCGCGAAGGTGACATGTGGCGCCCAGGGCCAGTTTAACCATAACCCAAACATATATGTATCTTAGAAATTTTAACAAATTTGATATGCTTTAAGTTAATATTATATTTTTATAAATTATTAATTGATATTTTAATTTGCACTTGAAAATTTAGTATTTAGTTGACTTTTTCTTAATTTAAAAAAATTAAAATAGTAAAATAAAAAATTGATATAATAATTAAAATATAATAAGTGCATATGTTTAGTGTCTTGGACTCTTGATTGATGCACTATAAATAAAATTATACATCCCGGTACATTAGTTGTAATATATTTCTTCATATATATCCTTAATATTTACATTTTCCATGTATTTATATACTATTTTGTGATCATTTTGATTTTAAATTTAGTGTTATTAATGTTGATGA